GTTCCAATAAATATAAAAATGTCAAGAAAAGATCCATACAATAATATTTTTGTTACAATGTTTTAATTAAAGGGAGAAAAGGAAGACACACCAAAAAATAAATAAAATTAGGAAAACATAATTTTCATGTCACCATGAGAATTCATTTTTTTTAAACAGATAATTGTACATATTTCTGTACCTTATCGAATAATTATGTCTGGAAATGGAAGGAAAATTTCACGTGTTGTTATTTAAGGAATTATAATAGAATAACCATAATCAAAATAACAAGTACTAGCTGCAAACAATGTGGATGGGTTTTTTTTTATCATACATATGTACATTTCACATCGTTCATGATGATTTAAGCAGTAGAAAAGTCCTCCACATTTCCATTCAGTGTTTTGATTCTGCATTTAAATGGAATTTTTCCTGAAAGAGTTGTTTCAGCTGCATTTTGTTCACACTGAAGAGCCTTGGTGACTACGTTCAATGGTATATCAAGATGCTGAAAGTTTTCCCCTTCTTCAATCATAAGGGAAAATCCCAACTCATTCTTTTCATATGCAATGACACTGCCAACCAAAATGGATGGGGGAGCTTCACATTTCTAAAAAATGAAGTTTAATAATAGAGATGTTGGCATATTATTTTAATTATAGTTATGGCGCTGATTTTATAAGTAGTCATGTATAAAATGACAGTTTTTATTCTTTATTATCTTTGATATCGTCAACAAGGTTCATATATATTTAATTTCAAATATGAATTTTTATGAATTTAACCCTCTTTTTAGCTATTTTATTGTCAATTATTTGAACCTGTAATTAAATTCTTTTTGTTTTACAACAACATATTTACACTTGCAAATGTTTTCCCTTATTATATATAACACTATCTAAGCAAGTTGTATTTAATTTTGTGTAAAAACATGTTCGTCATGTGTCCTGAACTTCACTATTCAGTCACAAGGCTAAATAAAATTGAAATGATGGTTCTCAGGCCCATGCTCATCCGTTTTGAGGTAGCTGCATTCCAAATTTTATTGTATTTTTAATAAAATAAAAAGTTGGCAATGTGGAGACCAATCCTGGAAAAAAAGTTTTTCTCTTAGTACTCGAATATCGCTTCTGGTAGCCATTTTCAAAGAGACTAGGCTTCTTCATTTAAAATACATTAGAAGATATTGCCTACAATGTTCACACGTTGATAGGCAATGGATTATGCAAACCTATTTATCAGACATGGAAAGTATGGGAAGTATATCTATGAACAAAGATTTTTTTTTTTTTCGAATTTTATAGAAAATTCAGGTATGAAAAAAATACCTCCCTCATCTACTTGAGCACCAATAACATGATAAAAAGAAAAACCTCCCTCTCGCATCTGTATTGGAGAAAATTAGCCTGAGAACCAGAGAATTAAAATTTATTAGTCTAAGATTAACATAATTTCGGAGTGACGTTATGAGTGGTAGATAGTAGAAGTCCAGAATTTTTAATTCTTTATCATGGAAATTATCTTTTCAAGCATACAAGTTTTTATTTTTGACAATATAAAATACTGTGATGGAAATGGACAAATACAGCTGAAAATTCTAAGTGTCCAATCAGGCTGGTTCCAATTAACATTTACTAGCCTGACTCAAATTTTTATGTGTGTTAGGACTTTTTGTGCGCACCGAAATTTTAAACTACATTGCTTTTTCATTGACAATTATTCATCATGTGGAATATGGAATTTTAATGAATTGCTACAGCTTCAGCTGTGACAAACATTCATTAATGTCTAAGATATTTACAAATATGTTAATTTTTTTTTTTTACCTGTATTTGTGTTTTTGAAGTGGTTGACAAGGAAATTTCTTCCTGGAAATGGTTCACAACTACATTTGTGATTTGAAGGAAACTTCCTACACTACAAGTTGCAGTCATTTCTCTCCAGAGACTGACTTTCACTTCATCTGTGTCATCCTTAATTTTTATGTTTTGGACAGCAACATCCTGCCCCTTCACTTGAACTGTCCTCACCAGTTCCTCCTAAAAATTCAATATATCATGAACAAAGTAATGCATAAATTAAAATAGCCATATTATTGAAAAAACTCTACATAAATTTTGGCAACTTACTGAAGTGACTCTTCCTTTAACACTGATCAATGTTTTCACCGGAGAGATCTTGGCAGCTTTTACGCTGATGGTTTCAGCAGGTGGAGGATGACTAATCATTTTGGCTTCGTCAATGATGTTTTGAGGGACATCAAGACTGGAAGTTCTCATGATCTTACTGACCTTCGTTAAGACGACAACTGGCTCAGGGTCCAATTTGAAGACATAGTTTGTCAGCATCACAGTGTCAGAAACTTTCAGGCTGGGTAGCTTGTCAATGTCATACAATATTACTTTCACTACAGAGTCCCTGTCTGCAACACCTATTACAACACTCTCTTTCTTCTGTCCTGCAGATGTTGTATAACTGCTACGTGTTCCAACACCACAGACTTTCACCTTTAGAGGGTTTGAGTATGGTTTGGGTTTTGACCCCTTCAGTTTACCAATCGTGAACATCTGAAAAGAAAACAAATGAATTCAATGAAAAAATAAAACATCAAAATGCTTGAAAATCATGTTTTAAGAGAATTTACATAATTATTGATAAATTCTTCATTTTGGCCCACAGGATTATTATATAATTGGAAAAAAAAGAAGGGTGGAGGGGTCAAAGGGGAAAGAAAAACAAATTTAACTTACCTAGGGGTAAAATTTGTTTTTAACGGTTAATCAAGCAAAGTAACTTGTATGAATAATATATTTAACAATTCAATATTGTCTAATGAATGGATATTTCTCATAAGGAGCTTCTGGTATGATAACTATGATATGTTTCTGTATATTAGAAAACTTGAGCATTTGCCAATCTTATCATATGAGAACACTATACAGTATTTCATTTCAAAGAAACATAAAGGGGTTTATGATCAGAATAGTATGTTTCTAGTGTGCCCCAAGAAATAAGCTGATCAAGTGGAATATTTGTGTAAATATGATCAATCACAGAACTATAGTCAGTAGTAACATCTGTGGGCAAATATCTAAGACCAAAATTTTCTAACATAAAAGACTGAATCTGTTCAGTTGCCTGTACATCAATGTTGAAATCCCCTATTATCATATGAGGATTTTCCAGCAAATCAGAGCCAAGTAGGCTTTTTAGAATTTCCTGTGCACATGAAGTGGAAGTTTTGGGTGGCAAATGTAGGCACTTTAAAGTAATCCATCTTTTTCTCAAAGCAACATCAGCTGAAAGTATCTGTGTAGATCCATACATGTTTTTCTGTAAATTCTGGATCAAGACACCATTCTTCACATAAATGGCCAATCCATATACTGGTCTTTGCAGATCTTGACAAGGGTAATCAAAACGATGCAACTGAAAACCTGGCAATGAAAAATGTTCATTCTTGTCCGATTCAATGAAACGTGTTTCAGCCACTGTAATTATTTCAGAAAAAAGTAGATTAAAGTCTTTTTCCAAATCAATAAAATGACAGTGGAGATTGATTGATTGATTGTTATTGTTTTACGCCGAGTCGGCAATATTTCAGCCATATTTCGGCGGTAGGAATTATAATACTGTATGAACGGTTTTGAAAGTTTTTGGGTTTCTCTGGCGGCCCCCAATGAGCCTACTCTTTTTCGAAAACCATAGAAACGATTTTTAGCGTGCCAAGGAGGTTGTTATCCTTGACACGGGGCACCGTTTTACGTCCCATCCGACGGACTTGGAATTTAAAAAATAAAAACAGTTAAATTGAAAATTACAAAAATGCTAATAAAAATATATACATTTAAATCTTATTGTAAAAATCAGTTTCTTGCAAGTATTGCAAAATTGCACTAGGGCTCACATTTGCAAAAAGATCATGCATCGTTTGCACACCATTAAAATACCTATTTCGAACAGGTGTAAAATCAGAACATTCTAAAAGTATATGATTCATAGTTATTGCACAGTCACAAGGGATACATTCCGGTTGTTCTTCCCCGTTCAGTAAATATGAATGTGTAAACCTGGAATGTCCAATTCTTTTTCTTGAAATAATGACTTCGTCTTGACGTTTCAGGCCAAAGTCAGGTGATTGATTAACTTTGTTTTGTATGGTATACAGTTTATTATTATCACAAAAATCCCAAAATATTTGCCAAAGAGAATTTACGTAAAGTTTCACTAAGTACTTAAGATCAGTGTAAGGAATTTTAAAAGGTACAATTTCATATTGAAGAGCAGTTTTTGCAGAACTATCAGCCTTGTTATTACCTGGAATACCATAATGACTCGGTATCCAACAAAATTTGACATTTTTACCTTGTTTAGTGAGATGATAAAACTTATTTAATATATCCAAAATGTATGGATGATCAGTGTTCATATTGTGTATGGATTGTAAACATGAAAGCGAGTCTGAAAATATTGTAAAAGAGTTTTTACTAGAAGTTTTTATATATTCAAAAGCAAGTTGAATAGCTTTTGCTTCAGCTGTAAAAATCGTTGCTTCGTTTGGAAGTCGTACAGAAAAAACATTATTATTGACCACTGCAGCGGCAGCAACCCTGCCTTTGTCCTTTGAACCATCTGTGTAAATTTGTATTGTAGGATGTATAGATTGCTTTATTTCGGCTAATTTCTGTTGAAAAACGAGAGGGTTTGTTTCTGATTTCTTTAGTTCGGATAGGGATTTATTAACTATTGGTTGAATTAATTTCCAAGGTGGTATTTCAGAAAGAGTAGTAGGTTTTACTATATCTAATGGTAATTCAGAATCTCTAATATGATTTTTAAATCGTAGACAGATTGGTTTTATGCATTTCTTGTTTTTGTCATATAAATTTGCATGCTGTGGATGGAAAACACAGTCATAGGCAGGATTGTCAGTGTTCGCCTTTAATTTAATTATGTATTGTAAAGCAAGTTTAATTCTTCTTAAGTCCAGGGGTGGCTCATTTGCTTCCACATATAAACTATCTTTTGGAGTAGTTCTGTAAGTGGAGAGATCTGATGTTAAGAAACAGAATTCTTGCAGCAGCATTAGCATGATTTTCAAGATATTCATAACACAAGCTGATTTTTGAATCATTTCTGAGTCGATCCATCTCTTCGAGGACAGCTGTTGAAACTGATATCTTTTTTTCATTCAAGTCTAAAATATGCAGTTTGTCCATGTTTGTGACTCTGCTCAAACCAACATAATGTATATGATCCATCTTCCTTGTTCCACAGTGAACAACAGCACTCTGTAATGTAGAACCTTGAGATTTGTGTATAGTTTTTGCTGCTGCAAGTTGCAAAGGAAATTGTCTCCTTTTCACCTGATAGGTTCCATTGAACTGTACCTTTAGCATTCTAGTTATTTCTAAAATGGGAGTCCAACTTTTTTCAATACCTGAATGGTAAAATCTTGCATATTCAATTCGCATTTTCTGTCCAATGCGCACGTCTTCAAATTCAACCCATATTATACTGACTCTGCAAGATCCTTCCACAAGATATTCAAAATGTTTTATAATACAGGAGGATCCATTTGTTACACCATCCTGAACACTCACATTGTTTGTAATTTCAGCAGGAACACCCAAAACTAGCTTTAACTTGCTAGCTAACCCCATGGTTTTTGAGCTGTCATCTGGAACTCGCATTAATATTTTTGATTGCAAATCAGGATTTGTTGAACCTATAACCCAATCTATGGCTTCAACAACAATCTTTAAATGTTCTTCTGCAGCATTAAATACAGAGCAATTGAATATTTCCACTTCTTTCCTAGTTGTAAACAAATGAGGTACACTTTTGTACTCTGGCATTTCCACTGTCATGTTTTTTTTCAATTTTTCAATATCCTGATCTGTATGGTAACCTTCTCTCAACCTATTTAGCAATTCTGCAAAAATTTTATCATCCCTCTGTCTCATGATTTGTGTCAATTCAAACATTTTAAAATTATCTTTCCACAAATTTGCAGCAATGGGCCCATAATCAACACATGGTTGAGAGAAAATCAGTCTATCCATCACTGGTTTTAATTGAAAAAGGTCACCCACAGCAATAATGCTTATACCTCCAAATGGTTCCCTGACTCCTTTTATTTCTTGTAACCTCAGGTTTATGAAATTAAACATGCCACATCCAACCATTGATATTTCATCAATAAAAATAACTTTTAAGTGCAAATACTTTGTGCGAAAGGAGCTTAGCTGCTGTATATCCAATGGTTTGTACTTGAATCCTTGTCCTACAGGTAAACAGAAAGCTGAATGTATAGTTGATCCATTTATGTTATGAGCTGCTTTTCCTGTGGGGGCACATAGCAAGACATGCAAATTATCTGGTGAATTGTGCAACTGGTGTGAGAAGTATTTGAACAAGGCTTGATATAAAGCTTTTGTGACAACACTTTTTCCAACACCAGCTCCTCCACTGAGAAATGCAAATAATGGTTCAGAACAAGTTTTCAATCTGTGCAACACATGGTACATAAATTGTTTTTGCTGTTCATTTAATCCTCTCATCATTTCTCTGTAAGCACAATCTTCAAGTTCTCCCCACTGAGTAAGATCTTCTTCCACCTGCTTTCTAGTGATACCAAGGTCTAATCCAACATCATACACTGGGGCATTTTGTCCAGGATCAAAGCAACCATATTGATGAGATATTGTTTCTCCTAAGTTTCTGTCAATTTCTTCTTGATGTTCATTTTCAGGTGCAACATTACTCATACACACTTCATCTGCAATATTGTTTAGACATGCCTGTTCAACATCATGAAGAAGTTCTTGATTGTGTTCATATTCTGCTCTCTTCTTTTGAATAAAGCTATATCTTGCCATGTAACTCTCTTCAAAAGAACCAAAATTCTTTATCAAATCCTTCTCCTCATTTCGCCAATGAGTAAAAAGCATTAGAAGTTCTCTGTAAAATTTCTCAGAATCAGTTTCAATATCAAAATGAACCCAACGCAAAATACATGATTTCTTCCTTCGTACAATTTCTGTGCCATTCTTAAAAACATAGCTATGCTGAAAAACATCATCTTCCAAGGAAGACATAATGTCATCTGAAGTGTCTTCAACATACTCAGTTTCTGGCAAATCATGGTTAATCTGGGCCTCATTTTCGGTCTTCTTCGCTTTGTACTTTACAGAAAATTTCGAGATGAAATCAGCAAGGCACATATTTTCAATATCTTTTGGTCTCTGTTGATAAAGTCGAACAATGTTGTTCGACTCAATATCAGTTCTGTCCTCTTTCATTTCTTCTAAAATATGTCTTGGTTTCAACATAACAACTCTGTCTTCAGGGGGATGGGTATCAATGAACATAAATGATCTTGAAGTTCTTCGCAGAGGCATTTGTAATACAAGGTAAGCAGCCTCTTGAGCACCTACTTCCACGTGAGTCAAGAATTGGTTTCCAATTCGTCTTACTTGCTGACGTATGTCAGAATCCAAACGCTTCGCTTCTTCACAAGCTTGATGTAGTAAACTGGACATACCCCTCTGTCCTTTGGAAACATAAGAAACTATATAAGCAGCACAAGCATAAGGATCTAAAATGAACTGCATGTCCATGTTAGCTAACCAACTTTTAAGCAGTATGGCATTATAGGCATTGACTCTACTTTCACTGGGATTACTCTTTAGGAAAATTTTCTTCTGACTAATAGATGACCTAACTGCCAGTATGTATGTCTCTAAATTCATATCAAGTTTGCTCAAAAAACTGTCAAAGGTGAAGTTCCAATCTCTGTTTTCAGTGGAATCAAGAAATGTACATACTCTTTGATAATCTTTCTGGGCTGCTGCTACTTGATCTTTGTTTTCAAGTGGACATAAAACCGTTGTGTACGGCATTGGAGGAATTGGAAAATTAAATCGACAAATAGGTTTATTTCTTTTCATGCAGGTTCTAGCATGCCTGTGAGTCTGATAATTAATGAGAAATGACTCAACTTGTTCTTTTCTGCATGTCAAATATTTGTCAACAAATTCTGAAATTTCTTCAATTGTATTTGACTCTGTGGATGGTGCATTTTTGATCCAAAGAAGCATATGAACATGTGGTGAACCCCTCTGTTGAAACTCTATTCTATAAAAGAAATCCACAATTTCTCCAACAGGGTGTGTGGCATTACTTAAGATTTCATGGTCAAACCTTTGAAACCTGTAGTCAAAATAGCGTGCACATGTAACAGGATCAGCTTTGATGAGTTTGCATTTTTCTTCCCATGACATTTTTAAAACATCTTCCTCTGTATATTCAACCTTATTGATTAATTTCCCAAGTGTTATAAGCAAAGGAGTCCATTTAGTCTCAGCTGCTGAAAAAGAACAAAACCAAGTAGGAAGACCCAGTTGCCTAATCATACCAAATACGTCTTTCTTGGCCTTCTCCCAATATGGTGGAGATCCTCGGAGATTACGCAAAACATGGTATCCCTCATTCAATCGTATTATTGAATCAGCTGTGCACGAATCCAATATCTGAGCAACTGTAAATTTCTTTCCCTTTAATTTGCACTTTCTGACAGCTAACGAGACTTTGTCTTGAATTTGCTTAATTTGCAATTTTTTCATTTTGAAGAAGATATTTGGAACACAGGTGGCACATCTCCTATCTACATTCCTTAGTTCCCATTTACATAGTGTACTATAATGCAAAGGAATTTTTCTGTCTTTGTTATCAGGTCTAACCTGGCCACAGTATATTGTTGGAAAAGCCAGGAATTCAGAATTAATGTCTTTAAACACACTTATTGGACTGTTGTGTTCTCCAGGTGCCACATTCAAAACCTCATTAAATTCACGAAAGTCTATAGGTTGCATTACTTTGTCTGTGTTTCCTGTTGCTCTTTCATCAATATTTTCTTCTGTCCATTTTTCTACAACATCCGATTCAGAGTTCACTGTATTATTTTCCTCGATGATGTTTTCGTTGTCACAAGAAATTTCATTTTCTTCAGTTGAATAATCAGTAAACCAGCTATCATTTATTTCAATGCCCTCTTTTTTGAACAATTCACTATTATCAACTAGCCATTTTGCTGCATTCAAAACTTTATTAGGGCGAATTCTTTCAAAAGCTACAGAATGTTTATAATTCAAACTGCGTTTGAATTTCAGTGCAATTGTTTCATCCTCTGTCAGCATTCTTGGTAACTTGTTCACTGTTGACATCACATCTGCAGGGACATTTACAACATTTCCACTTATGCTCAACTGTCCACCCCTGGGCTTTTCTCTCAACTGCATGAATGGAATCCTTGGTGCAACCAAGCGTTCTTCTAAAGATGATAATTCAAGTTCTGGGGGTTTTGGTGGAAAACCCAGTGAATTCATTATTGAACATGGTGGAATTCGGTTTTCTTTAAGATGTTGATAACAAGTTCTACATACCAAATCATCATTTTTTATCTGACACTTTTGAAGCATTGTTGCAGAAATTTTGGATGCTTTTTGGACACTTTCTTTGAACCAAGTTTGGGTGCAACACCTACACACATAATCTGGACCAGATAAAACGCTTTTATGAAACTTCGCAATTAGTGCAACCTCAGTCTCATTATGCTCAATAGCATGATCACGAGCATGTTGTATTTGTTCAAAGTCTGTATGACCACAAATGTCACATATATTCAGATCAAATAAATTTGTCTTGACTTTTGCCAGACATACAGCATTCTCTTGTCTTGTAAAGTGTGCACGATCTTGCACAATAAAACCATGTATCTGATACAAGTCAAACTGAACACTTTCTTGACAATTAAATATTTGTCTGATCAATTTATTTACACCTGAGAATGTATTTACAGTGAATATAACTGCATTTCCATCAGAATTTGGTTTCCCAGAAGAATCTCTTGCATGTGGATCAAACACATGGAAGTAGGGATCAGAATACAGAATAGACACAGCAGCATCTTTGCATATAAATATACCCGCTTCTGTTGATCCATAAAAACATGAAGCCATAGCAGACTCCAGTGACACAAAAGGGCCATTTTCCACAAAAGATTCACAAAGATTTCCCGAGAATGTTGAACCCACTGAGCATCGCAACAAAGTTTTCTCAAAACAGAAGTAACTTGGTAAATCATTCGGCTGTAAATATGAATGGGTACAATACTGACGAACATGCCGATACACCTCATCCCCATTTCGTAAAATAAAATCTATATCCTCTGAGCTCCATTCTTTAACTTCACTTACACTGATATACTTGTACAAAATACTAACTATAGCATTTGAAACACATTGCCTCCCTCTACTCCTTTCCGAGAATGTATCAGATCCCTGGTGCAAACTACCAAACACACACTTCTCAATATCAGTGGTACTAACACAAGACCGTGCTTTGTCATTGTTTTTTCTTTTCTTCGTTTGACTGGAACATGAGGACGATACATATCTTTTGGGCATACTTTTTTTTTTTTAGACAAAATGATTGTTAACAGAATTTTTGTACTCAATATTGCTGTTGAATATATCTTTTTTTATCTTCATACTCCATGGGTGTTTTTTTTTTCATTCCACAACTTTAAATTTCATCTCCAGAAAATTTCATCTCTCAGTAATGATACTTGGATGCACAACTCCATGGGTTTTTTTTCACAAAAATTCCACAATCCAAAATTGAAATCATCATCTCTTGGAGTCATTCAACTCTTGATAGAATGCTTTTAAAACCAATATCACTATTTTTCGATAACATCTTTTGCAATATTATAAATAGGCTACTGGCAGGGGGCAATGATGATTGAATCCAATTATAAATAATTTACTCTTTGCGATTCTGATTTGATACAAATTTCAAAGTGATATAAACAGATGGAGAATTGTTTCAATTGATATAAAAGAATTGAATCTATTTTGAATATGAAAAAACTGAAGGCACTACAGCTAAAATAAAAATAATTAAAAAAAAAAAATGAACTAGACCTGCAGCCAAAAATAAAAATTGAAAAGAGGTCTAGGCTTTCTCGCAGATTTCGAAGAAAATTACCTAATCAACATTTTATTGGTGAACTTATAAACCATATCAACACATGTATTCATAAGTGAATCCCTGTACTTGGTTTAATAAAACAACTAATACATTTTTTGTTTATTAACAACGTATAAGATCTACTACCACACAGACAGGAATGTTGAGATGTATATATAACGACACAACTTGGTCCAGCAATTTTCAAGTTCAGTACATGTTATATATACTTGACCCACTGAATGCCAAATTTCCTCTTGGAAAGGGCTAAAAACTCATTATATCAACTAAAATCAGTTCTGCTTTTCCTTAAGTTAATTCATCTGAAAATCTTGCACAAGGACTATGCTCTCGTGCATCACGTACATAGTGTAGCTGATGAAGAATTGTATGTCTACCTTGTTTTCTTCCTCACATGATGCTTAGTTTTACTTATAAACCACATCAATACATGTATTCATATGTGAATCCCTGTACTTGGTTTAATAAAAAATCAAATACATTTTTATATTAACAACTTACAAGATCTACTATGACACAGACAGGAATGTTGAGATGTATATAATTATAACACAACTTGGTCATCCAGCAGTTTTCCAAAACCAGTATGTGTCATATATACACACTGAATGCCAAATCTCCTCTTGGAAAGGGCTACAAACTCATTATATCAACCAAAATCAGTTCTGCTTCGTCTCAAGTTAATTCATCTTAAAATCTTGCACAGGGAATATGCTCTCGTGCATCACGATTGTGTGATTTTACCTTGTTTTCTTCCTCACATGACGCATATGTATTTTCAGAGTTATAAAATAACCTCCCAAAAAAAACAAAAATAACACACAACAAATGTAAATTCTGCTTCAGCTTCTAATATGAACCTTGCGCTATACGCTAACGGTTAAAATTCCTGACTTTAAAAAATAGTTCGGATTTGTCAGACTGCTCTAAGAACCTACATTAATGTGTATTTCATATATCATATGCTTATAAATTTTAAGCCTCTGCATTAAAACAACAAGAAAAACACACAAAAATCTTACTATAGTAATTTACCTTTCTCTTTTCAGCACTAAACAACTTCTCTTTGCAGCGTTTGTCTCTTTCGTCTTTGTCTTCGATGTAAACAACTCGCGTATGAAAATATTAGCGTATGGAAATTCAATATTAAACAAATTTCACTCAATGATATTCAAATAAATGTTTTATTCTTTCATTTTAAAAGTATTAGCAAATATACATTGCTGAAAATTTCGAATATTGATATATTTAAAAATATGGAAAATAATACTTGAGAACTACTTTTTACTACGCGGCAGACAATGCAAAGAGGTTTCGCGCCACTGTGTCAGGTCTTTGTGCAGAGTTGTCGTTCGTATCTCTTTCAATGTTTATAGATGACGCTTCACTACAAATGAGGTCCGTTACGAAAACTTTTTGGGTTCTTTATCATTTAGTATTACTTTGAACGAAATCTAATCTTCAAAATAAGATTAATTCATCATTACATTTACTTACATTTCAAATTATTAAAATTAGATCATTCAGAAGAAAATGACATGAACTATTTTGTGGCGGATGTGTATACATGTTTGTGTTGAATATCACAGAAGTAAATTGGTCGACACAGAAGCCCCACTTTCGGCCACTATATAATCAATACAAATTACTGCGCACGAAAAGCCCGTGATGACTAGGGGAGATTGAACATAGTTCAACTCCCAATAAAAAGATGATAGTTGATTGGAATATAATAATGCATGTGCATTTGTTTCTTGTGTATCTCCCTCTCCCTCTCTCTATATATAAATATTACTTAATGTTATGGTTGTTGCTCAAGAATACCCAGGTCCCTGTAACTTTGTAAATCAAAATGAAATTTACTGTAAGAAATTTCACATACTCTGTACTTGCCGTAATATGTTTTTTAATAATTCATTTTTTTTTTTAGATTCGGCTTCAGTGGTGCTTAGATTCACTTAATCGTAAGGACGACTTTAGAGATGTGATTTTTGTTGATGAGAGCACTGTTGAAATGTCTGCAAATGGGAGGCTTTTCTTTCATCAGGAGGGCTCGAAAATCCAAAAGAAATGTTCCAGAAAACCCAAACATGCTTATAAGGTGTGATAATCTGATAAATAAATCATATTTTACACTAAAAATATATATTATTTCTTTAAAATTAAATGTCCCTTTTTCAAAACAGAAAGAAGCACATAATCTGTTTCTCTTTTATCAGATGGTAATAATGTTGAAGTTACAGTCAAAATACTCCTTTCCCATTCTGTAATTTACATATTACATCAATGTATTTTCCAAGAAAAGGGAAATAGGAACATTTCAAATTCATATATAATGACATGTATTTTAGGTCCACGTATGGGCAGGCATTTCCTACCATGGACGAACAAACATCTGTATTTTTAATGGAGTCATGGACTCTCTGATTTACCAGGGGATATTGCAACAGAATTTGCTGCCTTTAGTGGAATACAAATTTCCTAATGGGTATCGATTGTACCAGGTGAGAGTTTACTTATCATTTCAAGTATGTTACTTTAACAATGCAACTATAGAAAATAAACCCTGTATTTTAATTGTGATTTATTTTGTAGTATTAAAGATTTTGTTATGTTTATAGCATGAATTGGATGTTTTTCATGTAATAAAGGCTAACAGTATATAGACGTAATAGATGTCCAGTATGCTATGATTTGCACTTAAATTTGAATATCTTTGTTATCATAGGATAATGACAGCAAACACACATCGAAGTCAACTAAGGAATGGATGGCAGAAAAAGGAATGTTGGATAAAGTAATGAAGACTCCAGCCTCTTCGCCAGACTTAAACCCCATCGAGAATGTGTGGGCTTCTATGAAGTATCACCTGCAAACAGTGACAAAGCCAAGAACAAAGGATCAGCTTGTTCAAGGAATTCGAAGTTTCTGGGAGTCGCTCTCCACAAGACAGTGTTCTAGGTATATAGACCACATCCATAAAGTCATACCATTTGTTGTCCTCAATGATGGTGAAGCCTCAGGATTTTGACATTGTCATTGACTGATATTGTGACTGAATTTTTTGTGTCATACTTTGTTAATGTGATATATGGTGATATATGGTCATGCCATTTGTTGTCCTCAATGATGGTGAAGCCTTGGGATTTTGACATTGTCATTGACTACCGTAATTGTGACTAAATGTTTTGCGTCTTACTTTGTTGAATTTTGTTAATGTGATATATTACATTTTCAGATCATCATTGTATTCAATGTATTGTCAATTACTGTAGTTTACAAAAGTCAGAACTCTTGTAAGCATTTTTCATTTCATGTTTTTGTTCAAGATAACATTGATTTTCCATTCATGTTTGGTTTGAGTACTCCATACTTTTGAAAAACACTTCCAATTTATTAAATTTTTAGTAATGATTTATTTTTAAAATTCAGTTTTTTGTTTACCATAAATTTCATCTTACTCCCTTTGAACACCAAGTCATCAAAACGGTTATTAAAATATTCTCTAGAATTACAGTTGTTTGGTGTTTGAAACATATTTTTTATCTTAGCTGATGTCTTTGATACAATTTAGATTGTACTGTATATAGACACAATATTTATACATAAATGTTGAAAAATTCTACTTAGTTATGTATTTTCTACTGTTAACATGGTAAACTAGCACATATCCATTGTGCTACATGGGTCCTCTTCTCAGGATTTAATATGGCTAAATATTCCTTCTTGATTGATTTTAAGAATGTCTCTGTTTTAATACCAAGATTATTTAGATGGAAACAGTAATTTAATTGGCACAAAACTTTCAATATGAAATGGAAACCAATACCTTGGGGTTAAAATTTCAGAAGATTCTCAGGAACAAGTACCACATGGTATTCAATAGAGCCTCTGGATCTTAAGTTATAATAAACAAGAGGCCCATGGGCCACATTGCTTACCGGAGCACATTGGCTAGGTAAAAGCATAACTCAGTTCAGTATTGAAAAGTTACCGGGGGGGGGGGGGATCCCCCATTGTGGACCCATCTATCCCTGGGGGTCATCAATTAAACAAACTTGAATCTACACTAGCTGATGATGCTTCCATATCAATATGACTGATCACACCTTTGTTGTACTTGAGAAGAAGATTTCAAATTTTCCCATGTAAAATTTTGATTCCCACCCTACCCCCGGGGTCATGATTTGTACAAATTTGAATCTACACTATGTAATGAAGGTTTCACATAAGTTTAAACATTTCTGGCCTAATGGTTCTGTAGAAGATTTTTGAAAGATGACACAAAATTTTCACCAATTCTTTATTATCTCCCCTTGAAAGAGGGTGTTACCCTTTATTTTAATTACCTTGAAACCCCTTAGCCAAGAGATGCTTTGTATCAACTCTGGTTAAAATCAGCCCATTGGTTCTT